TCAAGTCCGAAATCTTAGTATAAGTATGCGCTCATTCTAAGGTTTTAGGCAGAGTGTGAAAAATAAAGAGTATTTATTTTTCTGCATCCCAAGTTTGATTCAATATCCTTATTGTACTATTTTCAATTATCAAATAAAATTTTATCTTATTTCAAGAAATGTGTTCTCTTATTATCCATCTCTCTGCATCACATCCCCCAATCTTACTAATATAAGGAAACTACAATTAAGAAACTAATAAAATCTCAATCTAAAAGAAATTAGAATCATATTCTAAACAATAAAGAAATCTGAATCATATTCTAAACAAGAAAAAAAAAAGCATATTACAACTAGAAATCTTATTATAAATATTATATTATAAATAACTAACTTTTATCTTATTTATAATAAGATTGTCCTACATTCTTTTTACTCCTTCGCTCTTCTAATTGATTTAGAATTTTCTAACTCGTTATTTCGTTGATGAATGCCAAGAAAGAGATAATATTTGATAGAAACTTCTCACAAATTTTATTATAATAAAAAATTAACTTAGGCCATTAAGGCTTACAACACATATTTAAATAAATAATTGAAGTCTAGATAATGACTAACTCTAGAAAAGGATAAGAATTACAGATAATGACTAACTCCAAATGGATACGCTGAAATTCGATCTCGATCTCACTTCCCAAAAAAAATATTCTTTTGTCTATATTGCATCACAAAGTAATGATATTTATATATGCAATGGCCATGTATTTGAAATTGCTTGGAATTTTGATTTATTTTCAGATTTCATTGTCAATTTGTACACTGTGCCTGGTAGACCTATGGCGTTTCAAGGGTGGAGAGTTCTAGAGTAAACGAAGATTCCTATGAGTCACTGTATAGTATTTCATCAATGATGATGGGGGTAAAATAACAGAAAGTGGGGGATCCTAAAGTAATCACAATGCTGGATGACAGTAATTCTTCTAAAATATGGGTCTGATGTGGATGACTTGGAAAAGGATTTCGTCATGCATGGAAAGTCCACATGATATTCAACTCGATAAGAAGTTGAGTATGGCAGGAGAGTCCAAGGTTGTCCATATGGGAAGCCTTGATTTGGGTGTACCCGATGAACCAGAAAATGAGGCTAACTTTTCAGGCTTGAATGAGAAGCCCAGATTTTGTCGTCCCTTAGATGAGCAGGTTGACTTGGTAATTTTTGATAAATTATGACAATTGTTATTAATTAACCAAGTAAGATTTTTTCTTACATTTTTTGAATCATCGGGTCGAGTCTGCAGCATATCTTGATAGTACCATTCTAGTAATTTGCCATTAGATACATTACTTCCGAGTCTCTTACACAAAGTTAATAATGCAGCTAATGTTGAAACTTTATGAAAGTTTAAACTTTACAAAACTAGAAAAGTTAAGGGCATGTTCTATTTGGCGTTTTCTGTTTTCGATTTTCCAAAACAATGAAAACGCAATCTCTTCCTATTTTCGAAAACGCGTTTTTGAAAACAAGTTTAAAATTTACAAAGAAAACCCAAAATTACAAATTTGTCGTTTTGGATGTTTTTAGGTATAACTTGGCAAAAATTTTCAAATCGTGTTTTCGTTGTTTTCCGTTACTATCACCCCCAACCACCACCATTGCCGCCTGCAAAACACCACCAACTGTTGCCGCCGCCCCAATATCACCCCAACCATCACCATCGCTGGAAGCACCACCACAGCCACAACATCACCCCAACCAACACCACCGTCGCCAGAACCACTACAGCCATCACCACAAAAACCGCCACCATACAATACACAATCGCTAGCTCACCAACCAAATCCACCACCACAAAAATCGCCACTACACGGTGCCACCACCACCATCAACACCAACCACCATCATCGTCACCATCACCAACCACCACAACAAATTTTCAGTTTTCAACCCTAAGTTCACCCATAAAATCGGCGAGCTGTGGTTGAAATTGGGCTTGACCCATAATTGGGTTAGGTGCGTCGAGGGAGAGGAGGGTGACCCATGTGGTCCGTGACCATGGGTTGAACGGACGTCACCGAAATCACATATTTCTTTGGACTACGCGAAAAGGGATTGCGACCCTCATTTTGATTAATTGTTGTTTGGACTAAATTGAGGGCTGTTTCTGAGTCGCCCGGAGGTAGGCAATCGACCGGTGGTGGTCCGCAATGAAGACGGTAGCTGGAAGATGGGGTTCCGGCAGGTTACATAGAGGAAGGAAGAAGAGAAAGAGACAAGCGAGAATGCATTTGGGGATTTTCAAAACAATTTTTAAAAATGGCAAAAAGAACAAGTTTTCAACAATATCAAAATAGACACTTAAAACACAAAATTCAAAATGAATTCAAAAGTAAAAACATAAAACCGAAACACGAAGAGACAACCCCTAATTGTTTAATTGCCAAGATCCTCCATATTAAATCATCAAGAAAATTAATAGTCCAGAACAATCCTTAATTCTTTGGGAATAATTTCTTATTACTGGATCTTGATTCTAGATTTTGAATCTTGATTATTGGCTATATTGGTTCTTGAATTCTTGATCTTTATTTTTGTTTATTGCTCCATAATCTTGATTTTATTGTTTTTCAATTTAATTGCTCTAATCTTCTTTCTTGATTGTAATCTTGATTATTGATTGTGGGTTTCTTGACCTTCCTCTTCAATATGATTTCTCTATTAATTTTTGTGTTGATTGACACAAAGAATGAGAAGTTGCATAATTGGAGACCATAACCCTATTTATAGTTTATGTATTTGGCTCATCGTCAAATACAACTCTAATGGATCTGGTCTCTATACATATAATCTGACCTACTGTTTATTTAGATGCCCTAAACCCAACAATTTAATTTTTTATTAGATCACTTTAATTTGGCTCAAATTTAAGATAGTCTTATATACAATTAATTACATATGTAGGTCCACATGACAAATTAATAGACCTAA